GTCTGTTGCTGCTGTTTGCTTGGTTTCTGGTCTGAGACTGCAGGCTGTTTTAGCTGTGGGTCAGATGGAGTCCCTCCTGACAAAATCCCTGCTGACTGAGTAGGAGTCATCCCTTGGCTCAAGTTTTGATCAGATCCTTCCATTTTTGCTTTATGGTCAGACACTTCTGGTTGTAACTCATGGCTAGCAAGATTTGGTTGAGACCCAGACACTGTGTCTGTGGCTTTTTTTAAGATCCCAGATAACAGTCCTACAGATGATGGCTGAGCAGAAGTAGGCTGTTCTTGCTTTGGAGTTGAAATTTGACTAGATTGTCCTCCTGGTAGAGTGGATGAGGACTGATTCGTAGAAGCAGAGACATCAGAGGCAAATTTTAAAAATCCAGACAACAGTCCTCCTGACTGTTGTGTGGCAGACGTTTGCTGTGTTTGGGGAGAAGACTGGGAAGGTGGTGAAAATAGACCTGAGAACAGCCCACCCTGTTGAGACTGAGTGTTTCCTCCTTCAATTTTCATTACAGAAGAATCAGAATCAGTTGATCCAAGTTTCAACAATCCAGAAAGAAATCCTTGAGTCTGTGAGGCTTCTGGTTGCGATTCATCTTGTTCCACAGATTTGGGAGGACTTTGATTTTTAGATGTCGCAGTTGATTCAGACTGAACATCTGGCTTGGACTGGGAATCTTTTTCAGATGACATTTGGTCTTGGCACAAAGGTTCTGTTTTGCAAACGGTGCCCTCTGTGATATCAGACACTATTTGTTCAGTTTGATCAGTAGGTTTGGTTAATATCACGGTGGGAGTCATTTGTTGCTTCATGGTTTCCTTAGCTGGTTCATTTGGGGTTACTTTAAAAAGGTTTGAAAACCACCCAGTTTCTGTGTTTCCTTTGGGTAAACTTTCAAGAAGTGCTGCACGACTTGGAGAGGGTGTTCTTGTAGGGGTTGGACTCTTTGGCGTGGCACTGGCATCTTCACCAGATGCAAACTTAAGAATCCCTGATAGCATGCCCCCTTCTGCCTTTGGTGGGGCTGTTGTTGTGGAAATATTTTCTGAGAAAAATGGAAGTTTGAGTTTGGTACCTAAAAATGACTCATCTGCAGGCTTGGTGTCACTCTGCTGGGAACTTTCTGGAGGAGTTGTTGACATTAGTGAAGAAAGAGACTTTTTAAAAGGACTGAAAAATCCTGCTTCCTCTGAACTGCTTTCAGGTTTTGGTTCAGGTACTGGTGAAGATTTTCTTTGCTGAACATCAGGTAGTTCACCAGAGGACTCTGTCTCTGGAAGAAGCTCTACTGATCCACTACCAGTTTCTTGGAAAAACTCGATTGATCCACTTCCTGTATCTGACAAAAGATCAACTGATCCACAGCCAGAGCCTGTTCTCATTTCACCTGATAATTGCCGGTCTGTTTGTGATCCCTCTCTAATAGTACTCACCGTTTTGTTTACAGGGCCTTGCTGGGAGTCATTGATTGGAGCAGATGCACTTCTTTGCTCTGATGGCTGAGGTGATGGGTCTCTAGATGGTGGTGCACTAGAAAAAAGTCTCAAAGGACTAAGTCTTCCTAACATGGATTCAAAACCAGATGTAGCTTGTTTAGAACCGCTTCCTTGTGAATCTGTACTAAGTGTCGCCGTCTGACTGGCGTCAGCTTGCTGGTTGGATTCGGAAGATTGAAATGGCAAAAGAGACTGAAGGGAAAACTTTTTTTCTGATGTGGGTTCCTGAGAGGCAGGTGGAACTATAGCTACGGGTGGGGAAGTACCACCACTTTTGGGAATAAATGAAAGCAGCTTTGAAATGCCCGACTCAGGTTGGGGTGATGATTGAGAGGTAGGTGGTTCTGTGGCAGTAGCACCAGAGGTTTCTGTGACTTCAGTATTTGCTTTGGGGATCAAAGAGAGAAGTTTTGAAATACCAGAGTCTGCTTGGGTTGGTTGGGGAGATGGAGTTGTACCAGTAGCATCTCCCTCAGTGGCAGGCTTTGATCCTGTTATTGTACTAAACAATGAACTCATTGCATTCTTTACTCCAGCTATGCCCTGTTCAACAGCACTATCCTCCTTAGTATCAACTTTGACATCGTCATTACTACTCTCTTTAGGTTGCACAACTTTAGCATCAGTTGGCAGTGCTGGGAGTTTTCGTCTAACTGGTTTAGGCATTGATTCGTAGTTGCTGATCTCCTCTTCTTTTACAGCTAAGTATTCCGACACTGAGTGAACTAAACTCTTTAGTTCATCCATTGGATCTATATATTCTTCACCTGGTTCCTTCACCGGCGACAACATAGGATCTTGTCCATGACTTGACCTCCTTTTACTTGAAAAGTCTTCTCCGTAAGGCGGCATATACTTGCCAGGGTAGTAATAACTTTCATATTCATAGCAAGTATCTCCCTCAGTGAATGTCAGGTCATCTAATTCCTCCTCAGAGCCAAAGGAATACTGCATCTCATCTGAACCAACTGAGTTATATTCCCCTCTCTCCCTGATCCTTTCAGCCTCTTCCCGAGCAGCTTCCTCCTCACGAAAAGCTGCATAGTTCTCAAGTGTGTCTTCTAAAGCAGTTTTGGCCCACAGTCTAGTTTTGAAAAGTAGACTCTCTCTATCTGACAGCTGTCGTAGCTGTTTAGCAGAGGGTATTATATCAATTTCAGGAGGTGACGATTCATCCTCAAAGCTGCCGGCTTCCTTGTAGACTAACCGCACTTCTCCACTGCCGAAGGCACGCCTCCGTCTGTGTGTCCTGCCATCCAGCTCCAGCAAGTCCTCTGGGAAATGTGCATCACATTCCACTGTCTGATAGAATCTGCTGACTCTGGACTCGGATGGACTGTCACTAATTTTATAGATGATGCTTTTGTCCTCATCCTCCCACATTTTCTGCTCAGCATCCAAGTAATCGTCCAAGACACCAGAGTCAGGCACTTTGTATTTACTCTCCCAGTCCTCCACACCCATACCTGAATCAACAGGGATTATTTTTACTCCACCCTTACTGTTTGATTTCCTAAAAATAAAGTTAAAAGTACCAAGTGGGAAGCAGCAGAGGACGATGCAAAGAAAAAAGAAAGAAAAAGATATTAAGCATTAGACATGAACCAAAAGCAACAGATCATGCAGAAAAGAAAAGCACTGTAGAATACCTGTGTAGTAAAAAAGAAAACAAAAGACAAGAAATACAGACAGAGGAAAAAGTATGTGATAGTGTGCAAATTTTCATGGTCCAATTTTTTTGTCAGAAAGTTATGCTTTGACATATGTCAGTTGTGATTGAGAAGTTTTCTATTTTCGCAAAACAAGTTGGGTATAATGGCTTTTCTCCGATTTTGGCAATACATTATATAAAAAAATATTGGTTTCCCATGGCAACACACTCTTTAAATAGAGTAAAAAATAAAACAGTGTGCATCTTATGAGCTACAACACTCATAAAAACCTGATTTCAACCTTCAGTGATCTGCCTTTCAAGGTCACCTTATTGTGCGCCTCTGGACTAGTTCCAGTGTAGCTGCCATTTATAGGTCACTCTGTGGAAGTCCTGGGATCACTATTTGCTCATGCACATTTGCATTTCCATCATAGAATTCAAACAAACATCTGTGTCAAGGGTCATTACAGGTGAGGAGAGCTGTCTACAATGTGGACGCAAAATAGCACAGTCAGGTCAGGAGGTCAGATACACAACAAAAGACATGCTAGGATTTGTGTGTGTGTGTAATTCACAGGGTTATGCACCCTCAATTTGTCCTTCATTGTGCCACTGTCAGCTTGGCTTTCTACTGTGACATGCTGAGGCATCCATGGGGAGACATTTGATGAAAACAAAATTAACTGTGGTGCTTTCATGAATGCTGCAGCAACACCATCTTCAATCATCACTGCTGTACTTGCTATAATTTCTTTCCTAAATGTTTGTCCTCTTTCCCAAATTGATATTCAAGTCAGTGGGACGCCTTTTGAGAGAGCGGTGGAGATGCATCTGAAGTCAGAGTGGTCAGAGAGAGATTTAATTGAAAGGGCTACTATTCATTTATATCAGATTTGGCTTTTGATTTTGATCTTAGGCGGTGAGTTACTCAAACATAAAAATGTTCAATCAATTAGACTTAACATACTTCAGTAAAAAAGTTTTGACAGAAGACAGTATTTTTATATATGCAGTGAGAGCATAGTTCACTCAAAAAGTGCCACTTCTGCTATCAAACTGTTGCCATTTAAAACAGGAGGGTAAAACATAAGGCCTGGGGCCCAGAATCGGCTCAGCAAAAATTCAAATCTGGCCCACTTGATGTCTTTGGAAAATGTAGAGAAGGGCATAGACTTTAGACTTTTCATTACAAAAGAAATGAAATAATAAAGAATCAAATTACAGAAAAGTTCCTATTTTTCACTTCATCTACTAGTGAAATGTTTTTATTGTGCGTCCACAGTAAAACGAATAAATAAAACAGGACAATTTCTGTCTAAATTTCTAAAAGCTTGTTCTTTATAATTACAGGATAATCTGCACAATGAGCTATTAAGAAGTTATTCTGTAATTTTACACATTAATTTCTTATAATTTAAGACCAAAAAGTTGTGCTGATGGATGACTTTCATTAACTAAAGCAGCACATCATTTATCATGCAAAAATAAATAAATAAATGAAAAATAATTGAGATGTACTGTTAAAATCCCACATGTCAGGGATTACATGCGCACTTAAACAACTTTACCGACAGAAAAGGGACATTTCACTGGTCCAGCCCAGTTAAGATCTAAGCCCTGTTTTAAAAACATTAAAGGATTCTTAACTATTATTAATATTAACTAAATCACTAAAACCAAAGGCACAAGGAAGAGTAGTGGATTAGTGTGAATAATTCATTTAGAATTATTTACTAGCTTTAAACTGTATTTGGAGGCAAAGAGTGACCATGAAAATATTAACCTCTAGCAGTGCTGCAGTGATGTGCTTGCTTATGAGTATTTTTAAGTGAGCATATATTTACCTGGGCCCCCTCATTTCTAGCTCATAGCTATGCACAGAGTCAGACTCCTTTGACAGTGTTTGATGTTGAACCCTGCGCATCATGGGATACTGATGCACTGAGGAATTTGTTTGGGAAGTGTTGTGGAAGGGTGGAGGTTTGTTTCCAGTTTCACTGTCCCAGTCGTCCACTGCACTGTCATGGTCATCAAAAGCTGGGTGGAAGACAACAAAAACACAGTAAAGAATAAGATCGTGTCCACCCTCTGCAGAATGCTGCCTGCACTTAGAGCACAGCCAAACAATGAAAATATCTGAGTAAATGGCTCCCTCTTGGGGTAACAGGCATGTATTACAAAGTGAAGGAAGTTAAAGCCCAAAATGATGGGAAATGATGGGATATGTTTGCTAGAAAACATATCAAAGTGCCACATAACAAAACAACATGCCAACAAATGAGGGACTCGCATTTTATATTTTGACCAAAAGAATTCAAGATTTTTAAATTTCATTTACAGCAATCGTAAAGAATAAAGAGCTAACATGCAGTGGTACTTGTTTTCAGTAGGCACCATCCATACCATGCAGTCATAGACAGAAAATACAAGTGACAGAGGGGAGGAAACACCGCCATACGTACTCTGTTGGTCACTCCATCCAAAATAACTCCAACTGCCTGGTGGCATGGAGGCAAAAATTAAACTTTGTTACTGCAGAACGAAGCCAGTAAGTGTTACTGATGATGGCCGAATGAGAGTGTAACATGGTACTGAACACATCCAAAGAGAGATGGATGAGAACTATGTGAAGAAATGCGGTGAAGACGAAAATGAAGTAATGTGATGACTGAGTTAAATCACACAAAAACAACAAAACAGAAAAAAGTATTTACAGTCAGTAAGTTCATATCCGTGTACAAGTAACTACAAATTTATACTTTATTATTTTATACTTTGACTACTTATTATTATCAGGCGGTGAAACGGCTTCACACCCAAAATCCAGCAGAATTTCTCACAGTAGCTGAAAATTATATCTCCGCTCATCTTACACAGAGTGAGATGACTTTGTCCAAATCAAAGTGAAAGTTTAATACTTACAGCACTGGGAAGGCACAGATGGCATTCTTCTTCTCTGGCCCTCATCTTGTGATGGATACTGCAAAGATTAAACAAAACATAGAGGAGAATTAGAAGCATTAAGATATCAAAGAAATGCCTTTATTGGAATATGGGCTTGTCACTGCAGTTCCTATAAACCCCCTGCTACTGTTTCCCATGTTATGTCAGTAGGTGGAAGCAGAGCAGCAAAACAAAGTGCCACGTCACTGAGAAGCCCACACAGTGTGAAACAATATGATATTAAAGCACACAGAGTTTGTAGATAAAAACTCAAGCATCAATTACTCAATATCTCTAACAGCTGATTAATATATAACACAGTAACAGGAAAACAGAATATGCAGTGAAGTTACCTCATTATGTATCCGCTCCAGTTTGCTGGTCCAGTACTGAGCCTCGTCTTCGGGAATGTCTGGATAAACGTATGGGACAGAAGAAATATGGAGTGAGTTAAAATAGTGACAGGCGATTACAAGGTGGTGAAAAAGAACGTGTGGAAGAAATACAGGTGCATGGAAAAGGGGAATTTAGGTTTAAATACATAACGGGAGATGACAGAATATGAGGCAAAGTGCAGAAAGAAATGAAGGACCATTTCTTTAGCTCCACCCTTCCATCATTTGCCACTCCTCCATGCTCCCTGCCCCATCCCATCCTATTCTGTCTGCAGGTTGATGAGGTTCCCTTTCAGGGGCCTAAAGGTTCTTCCCAAAGAAAAGGGAGTAGCAGAAGAAAAAAACTTAAGCATAAGAGGAAATGTGAAAGAGCAGTCGTCTCTGCTGTGGTTCCCCAAGAAAAAATAACCAAATAATATTTCAGCTTATGTTTCAGCAAAATCTTGTACAAGCAGATTTATGGCCATACTATCGAGAAAATTATCTAGATCCTCATACTCATATATACTCATATTTCATGCCTGGGTTTCTAAATGTTAATTTTTATCAAAATAATTTTAAATGTTAGTAACTGGGTAATTGCCCTGTAGATGATATCACACTCCTTGGCTGCAAAAACATATCTTTAAACTAAATTCTATTCATCTGAAATTGAATCATCAATCGGACTTCAATCTATGAACAAACTACAGGCGATAGCTTTAAAATATATGATGCATGAGATTCATTTCACAAAGTCTGTCAATCTGTGCCAAAACAGTAAAATCATTACAGAAAACCTGTTAGACCACAGCTAGAATTCAAAGAAATGCGTCAGTGTGGCTCTTTGGCTTAACCATTGTTCAGTGGTATAGCGGCTCAGGGGTGATGCCTTTTCTTAAGAAGAAAGCTGTTAAACGGTGATTCAGACTTTGCACAATGACTTTTCTGCAGAATACAGTTAAAATTCCAACAATTACACCTTTCTTCTCTGCACTTTCAAACTTTGCAGACCAGTTTTCACCCACAAGCTGAGTGTGCGTTACAAGAATGTTGAATTAGCCATGATCAGGACCTGGTGGCAATTTTATGTTTGTTGGATGTAAAAGAAAGTGGATTACTAGATTACTCTGAAAACGAAGAAACATTGTCAGACAGGATTTGAATTTCATCTTCCATTATCCACATTCACTTGGCAAGGCGAAAAATCTGCAGAGCTACCTGGTGTGGCGACAACAGAGTAGCTGGAAGTAGCTTCATAACAATTCAATCAAGCAGTGAAAAGGTCACAAAATCCCAGCACTGTAATTCACATATGTCTGGTCAATGTTCAAGTATCAATGCAAACTGCAGCAGTCAAGTTTCAGTCAGTGCTGCAGCAGGTTTCACATGTCTGCTTCACCTCACATCCCTGCATCTCACCCCGCGGCCTCCCCTCAGCTCAAGCTGTCTCACCGAGCAGCTGTGCGTTACGATTTAAAAACTTTGAGGCATTTGTCAATGTGTTTTCTAGATGATATGTTGTGCTAACTGATGAAAAATAGAACTAATCACTGATTAGAACCTACGTTGTTAACTGCAGGTCACATACCTTCTCCTGTTTTTGAGGATTTATCAAAAATAGAAACTCTCCATCTTTTTTTAAGTTGAGCAGACATGAACCACAGTTCCACTGTTGACAAACAGTGAAGGTGGAAGGAAAATGGCAGCTCAAGAAGACACACTTCAGACAGCTTCTTGAGATTAATAGCTTGCAGAGGAAACAAACTGTTCCACAGTTACGTTGCTATTTCAGTCAGAACACTGATAGTGGGGAAAAAATTATTTCCATTTGCAGTAATTTACATTCGTATTTACGGCTCTGTTTAGAGCACACATTCCTGCTGTCCAGTGTGCACACGTGGAAGTGTGGAGGCAGCAAAACCCCAGCATAGAGCAGAGCTCAGTGACAACAGATATGATGTTAATTGGGTTACATGCAGCACTGGGAGGAGGAGGTGGGTAACAATGCGGTCTGCAGATGCAGAACTACTGTGGGCATGCTAACATCAAAAGTGCCCCATATATGAAATCTACCAGCTGGATGGTCACAACAGGATCAACTGCTGATCTGCCAGCTTTGCTTGGTGACTGCACTCCAGAAATAAAAACAGCAATTAGGACAACAGCAGAGAACGCACTCCAGCCACTGCTGTGTTTTTCCCTTTTAAATACATCAATTCAAATTATCCTAAACTGCACAAAAATGTACTATCTTGAAAAATGAGAGGCAAGCAAATATTACCAAGCACAATTCTTCACCTCAACTCTTCCATGGAAGAGGAATAAAAATAGAGGACTGAGGAATATTTAGGAGTGAAATGTTACAGTGAATAAATCTTTCATAAAAACTTTATGAAGCCTAATGGTTCTTCCACAAGCTCTGATATATGAGGGATTCTACAGGAAGTCTTAGAGGATACAACATGGCACAAGTAAAACTCCAAACAGCTATATTTAGTGCAATGTTTAGAGTCTAACCACTCTGAAAGATCTCACATGTTGCTAAGCTGTGGATAGTTGTTTTGTTCAGGTTTTATTTTGAAGTTAAAATGCTTTAAATAATTATTATCTTCAAAATTTTAATTGTTATTGCTCTCACCCAGCATAGATTTTCTTAACCACTGATTTAACTTAGAACAGACAACGACACGATGTCACATCCACAAATATGGCCGATTCAGAATCACCGGTGAGCCTAACGCATATATCTTTGGACACAAAAAGATAAGTTTTCCTTTGTGAGAAAATGTGTTTGCACAAATATACAGACCGAAGGGCAACTCAAAGCGAGTGTCCATCAGCACTTGGTGCGGAGTTGGGTTGGTGGTGCCGCAGATCTCATCCTCCCTCATTAACACCTCAGAGTCCAAAGACGTCCACTCTCCTGGTCCCTCCTAGAAGACAGAAAAGCAGATGCAAAAAGAAAGAGAGTCAGGAGAGAGCCAGGAAGACTAAAACAAAGAACAATGCCAAACATCTGCTTTGTGGGAAACAGCATCAGCAGAATAATGGAGGGTGCAGGAGGGCTTATTAGGAATATCATCCACTGAACCTGAGCAAAGATGAAAAGATGAGGAACAACACTGGCAGTTCAGATGTTGAAAAAAAGAAAAAAGAAGGTGAGTGTATGCTGTGCTTCATACTTAGACGCCAAACATTGAGGCTACATTATTAATGACTACACAGGAGCTGCTGCCTCGCTTTAAAACTGCAGAAAAAGTAATGAGGTCTACAGGCGAGACCGGCCTGCCCACAGTCCGACAAAATGACTTAGCCAATGCTTCACCTGTGAGAGGGCTTTTTAAGACTAAGCTAAAAGGGAAAGATGGAGATTTAATAAGTAAGCACTGCTTGGCAGATGGTGTGTGTGTGTTTACTTTAAGGGCTGTTGCTAGCATAAGTAGCCTGAGCTGCAGATACACCACATCTAATTTAACTGTAATGGTAAAAACCAGTGTAACCATCTGTTCAGTTCAAATATAATCAGATACAAATAATAACCCCAAAATTAATAATTAAAACTTTATCAGTAGCTTTGTTGTGGTGTGTGATCAGTTGCATTTTGTTGGGTTCTATTATGCTTGAGGTGTGTCCCGCTGTGGCAGATTCACTGACCGATTAAATTGTTTGGACCACAGCTGACTGGAAGCTACACTTCCAGTTGGCAGTTGACTGATCAAATATTTCAAATTATGCTTAAACTGATTCATGCTTTGCAGTATTTATTTGAATAAAACCTGATCCCTACATTAACCGCAAAAGAACCAAGGCATTCACAGACGGGAGAGCATCAAGTCTGCTTTATCAGGTATAAGAAGTACTAAAAAGAGCAGCAAGTGTGTAAAAATAACAATCAAGTTCCCATTTGTATGTTGAAACAGGTCCTGGTTGTTATAGTCAGTCTTGCTGTTCACACAGGCCATTAAAAAGCAAAGTCCACAATAATTCTGTGGAAGTGTGAGGCTATCAAATCAAGAAAATGTTTTCTTTTGTGTCAACTAAGGGGCACAAACTAATGCACGAACCATGGCCACGGCTCATTTATGTTTAATGCCGAAACCTAACAAGTGAGTCAGAGTGAAAAAGAGTAAACAAAAACAAAAAAGGTCTCAATGGGACGCAAACCAGGGTCTCCTGGTTGAAAAGCCCGACACTTAAATCCCCCGACCCAAACCTTCCAATGCAGATTTTGCATGTGTTTAAAATGGAGCTGTTATCTCTCAATATTTGTGCAGACAGGGTGTCAGGGCGCTCACTCCAAAGGACGCCTTTCACTCAATGCTGACATGCTGGAAGTAACTGACAGAACAGCGCTATTACAGCATGCTCCTCGACGGGGAAGGTTTATTTTAGAACAAACCATTAAGCATTGATTAACTTTGAAAAATGAGTAATTTTATTTGACTTATACCTTAAACTTTGCATATTGAAATTAAACTGAAACCATGAATATGTGCTCATAGTTCATGTGCAGAACTCTGCGTCTAGTGACATAACCAGGTGATGTTGTTTTAAGCCCTTCGTGTCCACATGCATGTGAGGACAAAGAGATTAAAGGGTGTGTTACCTCGTCAGACTGTCGAATGGAGCTGAGGGGTATCAGCGCCGTGCCGATCATCGTGTCCCAGATCAAACCTTTGTTCCACAGCTCCACCACCAGCCCGGACTCTAGATGACTGATCTCACTGGGAAAAAGACAAACACATCACCTATATTACAGTCAAAGTTAAAAGCTCTGTACCAGTGTATTAGCCATAGAGATTATTAACTAGAACACGTCTGTGTAGTTGTTCAGGTGGCAAACTGCTGTGAGTGACCTCTGGTCACCAGCTTCAAAACAAAGACGCACAACTGTTCTGCAGGTTTGAGAACATTTGCAAACACACTCAGGTTCATAATAGAACATTATTAATATATAACTTTGGTGGGAAATCACATCCTTCACTTTTCTCTTTGTACTGTTGTTGCACACTGATGTGACTGTCAATCACTGCCGTGTATAAACAAAGTAGGAGGTGTTGTCTCGCTCTGAATTTGTCGAGCTGTCGTATAAACTCCACGCAGTCTTTGGTGATGTCTCGTATGACTTTATTACAAATGTGAGAGCCGTGGAAATCAAAATGAGGCAGGGATGAATATAGGGCCTTATGCTGAAGAACCCAGAGTTTACAACTTGATTTATCAAATATCACAAAAAAAAAGAACACAATTTCACACAATTAGCTACAACAATCGTCACGATTTGTGACAAATGGACATCAATAAAAGTGATAATGAAGATTTAGAAGATGGTAGTGAGACCTGTTACGATTTATGGTTTGAAGATGGGAACAGTGAGAAAAAGGAGGCAGGGGTGGAGGGGAAAGATGTCCAGATTTTAGAATAGAATTGAATAGAATAGCCCTTTATTGTCATTTTGAATGTACAATTAAATTGTAGGTGCTCCACAACAAGTGTGCTGGAATAAAATATAAATAGCAGACAGTAGGAATAAATGGCAAACAGGATCCTGTCCACCAGGATGAATAAGAGATGAGTGCATCAGAGGGAGCGCTCAGGATGAGAAGTTAGGAGACAAAGTTAGGAGGCAAGGCTGAAATGGTGTGGACATGTGCAGAGGATGGACAGTGGATCTGTGAGACAAAGGGTGTTGAATCTGGAGCTGCCAGGCAGGAGGAAAAGAGGAAGCCCTCAGTGTATATTCATGGAAGTAGTGGAGGAAGACATGCTGAGTGGTGCGGTGACCCCTGAAAAGAGCAGCTGCAACAAACATCCCAATACGCTTCATCAAGGGATTAAAGACAATCCCAAGTTCAGTTACATCAAACATCTATTATACTGTAGTCAAAAGAAGACTGTCATGTCCATCCATTCATTTATCCAATTCAGGGTTGCATGGACGCCGGAGCCGTCATAGGATGAGAGGCGGAGTGCACCCTGGACCAGACTGCTGCAGGGCTAATCCAGAGAAACAACCATTCACACCAAGGGCTACATTAGAATCAGCAGTTAACCTAACGCCACTACACGCATCTCTTTGGATTACGGGGAAGAGGCCGGAGAGAATCCACACAAACACGGGGTGAACATGGAAACTCCAAAAAAATCCAGATGGTGGATTTGAGCCCGTGCTCTGCTACCCACCACACCACTCCGCTGCCCATGCCAACGGTCATTTCCATCTGTAGCAATTCATCTGTGGCACATCTGTGTTCAGAGCATACCTGCCTTCCCTTTAATATTATATGACTTTCACAAATTGGGTGCACAGAAACTGACTGGTTAATCCATCAGCTGATGCAGGCCGACACTGAGATCAGCTGACCCGCTAAGCTTGTCTCTGAGCTCAATTCTGTGGCCTACCTGACTTAATGCTACCCTCACTTAGTGCTTACTTGTTATTTGTCTAATAACAACTTAAATAATTAGTGATTATGACACAACAGTTGTTTGGTTCAAGGCTTATCATTATATACTCTGTGTGTGCCACTAACCTCAGCACACTGCAGTACCGCTCTCCTCCCAGCAGGTCTGTAAGTGGGCCAGTATTATCTCAAAGAAGCGAGGCTGAAGGGTGACAGCCGTCTTTTTCTGACAGATCTTTTAAAAAAAAAGAAGACGGCAGCCAAACCGTCTCCGCTCCTCATCTGCATATTCATATTCACAGTCCCATTCATATTCATCTTGCCTCAGTTTAGCTGTCAGTCATCCAAGATGACTCTTCACAGCTGGGATGATGGAGAGAAGAGGGTGTGTGGGAGATGCTATGTGAAAAGTTTGCACTTGTGTACGTGTGTGCGCTTGCTGCCTGATGAAGGAAAGTCAAACCAAAATGGTGATGTTCCTAAATGTTAGCATGGTTAATATTAAACACTGATGTGTTTTTGGCGGTTTGCTATTCCAACTATGTAAAACAGCGCCATTAATGACGCTCTCATTGAGGAAAGCAAAATGACAGCAGAGGCCAGAGACCAGGTCGATGGAAAATTCTGACTTTTATCTGTGAATTTTAAACAGCAGGAATCAATTCAGCTCCACAATATAACTGACACACAAAAACATTCTGCACATATTAAATCTTTCACATCATGGATGCTCGTAAATGTAAACATATAAACACAATGTTTGTTGACCATTTGTCATGAATAAGAAAACATTGATGACATTAAAATGTTCTTTTTTTTTCTTATTTTCACTTGTAATGTATGTGATACAAAAATAATGTTTTAATGAGTTCATTATATGCAGAAAACCAAATAAAATGATTAATACCTTGTTTGGTCTTTTATTAAATCAATTCAATTCAAATGTATTTACTAGGGCTGCAACGACACACAAAATTCACGGTTCGATATTTTTTCGATACAAAAAAAATGTTCATGCCTTTTTAATTTGTCATTTATTAAAATTATAAATATATATTTTAACTCAAAAGTACAGTTTTTAAATGTAATGTTGCTGAAACAACAAAGTAATAAAATACTAAATCTATCTGATGGAGAAATCCCTCATCTTTGGAAAAGAGAGTTTATTACAGAGAAATGGCTCTTTCCAAAATAAAAGCTATACTATACGCTTCTTCTGGGCTATATTCTCAGCAGCATATTAAACATATCAGGTCCCCATAAGGAGAATCCTGTGCTAACAGCTGTCTAAATGACTCGGGTAAAGTTTGTAGCATGCATGCTTGTTGTTTTTGTCTGCTTCCACTTGTCTTTGCACTAGGATGATGTTGGAGTAAATGTGCAGTCATATTCGTTGTGTTCCCACTAGTGCTGTCAGCCTTAATCTGAAATGACGTTAACGCCACAACACGGCAAATCTCCGTTATCGAGCTACCGCGGATCGCCCCGTGCATGGGGCTGGACGGCGTCAACACGTTAACGAGCTAACTGCGCTAACACACTAGTTCCCACAAATTGAGCATTGCGTGGCACATCTGACATACTGTTTTACTTTTGTCCATGACGCGCTTACCTTCAGGGTCATACGTCACATGAAAACCAAAATAGTTCCAAAGGCCAGATCTGAATGAGGGTGGGGGAGGTTCAATTCTGTCTCGCTAGCTTGCCCTGCGCTCAGTGAATCTGCGTTCGACTACTCCGCCTAGGCTGCACTGTCAAGCGCAGATCCACTGAGCGCTCAACACAGACAGCATCGTCAGAAGGAAAGTTGATAAAATAAATTAAAAATTTTGTATTGTTCATACATATGCGTACAGAACCGAAAGCACTGTATCGAACGGTTCAATATCGATACGAGTATCGTTGCACCCCTAGCATTTACATAGCAGCAAATTACAACAGCAGTAAGGTGAAGACCCTACAATAATAAAGAGAAAGCCCCAACAAATGGAGCAAGCACTTGGTGACAGCTGGAAGGAAAAACTCCCTTTTAACAGGAAGAAACCTCTGGCGGAACCAAAGACATGCTGCTGAAGATGGCCACAGATGTGACGTGTATAAACACAGTGAGTGGAAAAAGGTGAGTGAAGAAGAAACAGTGCATCATGGGAATCCCCCAGGAGACTAGACCTATTGCAGCGTAACTAAGGAAGGATCCAGGGTCACATGATCCAGCCCTAACTCTAGCTGTGTCCCAAAACGTAGGCTTCATCCTCCTGAGGCAGCATTTGTAGACCGATTACGTCACAGCGATGCGACGAAGGCTGTCCCAATTCATAGACTCCTCCGAATGTGTCCTTCTTTTCCCCAGATTTGAAGGATGGGTCAGGTGTATCCTTTGTGGCCATCCATATCCCAGAATTCATAGCACGGCCCAGCCAGTTCCAGTTTCCCCACAATGGCAGCCACTATTAAGTTTCAGCTGGGTTTTCACACAGCTGAATAACCGTCAAACAGAAAACTGATTGAACAGAAGTGTGAGACGGTCGAGAATTTACGGCAGTGTCCTGTTATATTTTAAATAGCAAGGAGCAGACGGCTGAGTTAACTACACCAAGACAGCAGTGATGCACATCTGAAGGTTAGACCGTCCCATTTCACAGCCTCGCACTTGCGGCCTTCTCAGTCTTCAATGGACCCAGCCCACGTAGACCACGAAGGCCGGGTTCTCCGAAGGATGCGGCCTAGGTTTTGGGACACATCTTATGTGCTTTAGCAAAAAGGAAAGTCTAATCTTGAAAGTAGAGAGGGTGTCTATCTCCCAAATTCAAACTGGGAGCTGCTTCCACAGAACTTCTGCTCTTTTGACTTTCCCAGTCTCCCTTGTTTGTAGCCAAAGTGCAAAAACACCATTTGGACATTTTCTGGGTTTTTCAGCCACGCTATTGAAGCGATCTGTTCTTGGCAGATTGTGTAATTTTCGAAGGTCCAAAAAGATGAAGGTGAACTCAACTAATGGCAAGTAATGCATTGCATAACGAGAGAGTCAGCTCTGGATCAACGGGCTTAAAGAAAGGGGAAAAAAACAAAACCAAAAAACAAAAGTACCTCATGATCTGCTCATTTTAATCTGAGGGATTATTTATTTGATACCATAAAATCCAAATTTTAGAAATAAGTCTGACGTTGCCCTTCTGTGAAGCCTGTCTCCAAACTATGTGACTCATAGCTCAGATGTGTGTTTGTGTGCGTGTACATGTGCCTTAGGTTTATATCTGGCTCTGGCATATGCCCTCCATCAAAGCCCATCCATTATTGAGGGAATGGTTTGTGGTAAAAGG